GAAAAGTATTTCATAAAAGATACAGTAAAATGTTATCAAAAGGTATTAATCTAATTGTATAAAAAAGTCCTAACTATGATAAATAATGAGAATGAATGGCAAAGGTCTTTGAAACATATATTCTTGTATTTCCCAAGGAGAATGAGCCACATTAGTGGCGGCATCTGCTGGTTTTATTTTGAGAAATTGACTTGGAAGAAACTTGCGGTTATACCTAAAGTTAGAAATTATTGCAAAGTGAGATTATCATGAAGTTTACCATCAGTGCCATACCTATGATTTTCATGGCTGAAGGGCATTGAACCTCAAAAACTTTAATTGTAAAGTCATTTAATTTGCAGTGTCATTCCAGATAGCTACAGGGTGACAAATAATTGTAGGAAGATTTTTTGTGTGTGTGTGTGGGGTGGGGTGGGAAATGTGTTCCAGTCAATTTAGTTACATTTGTACACTGTAAGCTACAGACTATAATACTATTCACATTGGCAGCTCAGCTTTCCCAGATATCAATAAGAATTCTTTCCCAGCCTAATAGAGCACTGGCTGCCCTGTGCTTTCTCTGTGTGTCTTGTTTTCAGTGGGTCAGAGATGAAGAATCTCGAGAATCTTGTGATACCTGTAGAAGTAAAATTAAATTACCAGGTGCTCTTACTGATTGATATTTATAAATAAGTTTATTTCTGTGAGTTTTATTAATTTAAGTAGTCAAGATCTCTCTCTGTCTCTGTCTCTGTCTCTGTCTCTGTCTCTGTCTCTCTCTCTCTCTGTGTGTGTGTGTGTGTGTGTGTGTGTGTGTGTGTGTGTGTGTATTTAAGGTAAACATTTACAGTTTTCCTTAATTTGTCAATGAACTAATGTCAATAAAGCATTGAAGACAGAGGCAGGCACAGTCCATCCTTTCAAGTCCCGTCACTTCCCCCAACTTCTGCAACCTTGAGTATTTATATTTCCCTATTTAAATCTAGAGGTTTTCTTTTTAGAAAGAGATCTTTTTACAAAAAGCATCTTTTAAATGATTGAAGATATAAGATCTCCTAATGTATACTCTATGTAATAGGTATGACTAGAGATGATTTTCTATAATAAAAGGAACTTCAAAGACAGTCTTAGCTATCAACTCCAGTGTTTCTGTCTCAAGTGGCGTTGTTCTCTGTTTAACTTTACTAAATTTCCCTCATGCTTTCCAAGAATTCCCTATAGGATTTCATTGAGTTATCCTCTCAGAAGAAACTGAGTTTTTTCTCTACACCATTGAACGCTATCTGTGTTTACTACAAGGATTTTAGTTAAGTATTTCCATACGATATTAAGGCTGGGGGAACAGGTGAAGTTATTTTACCCAATCTCTAAATTTGAACAATGAGGAAACAATGCAAAATCTACTAATTAAATGTTCATTGTTTATTTTCATATGAAGTTTCTTTGAATTTCAAATTATAGTTATGATGTATCAATATGCTATAAAGTAACTTTCACCTTATAAAAGTCTGGATTGAAACATAACCGAATGCGCTTACATATCTACAATGACTTTTGCATCTGCTCAAAGACCAAACCTTTACCAAACAAACAAACTTGGTTTTATTTTTCAAAAATAGACTTTCTCCTGATCTCATAGTAGTGCCCTTTTCAAAAATATCACCATTGAATTTTATAGTGCCTTCTGGGTTAAGATGATTTTCGTTCATTCATCTTGCTGATCTACCTGTAGTATAGGCCAATAACCTTGCTAGAGACTGATTTTATCAATTCCTTTAGGGTACAGTTATGCACGCATTTCCTACACCATAGATTTCTACCTTATTGTATATGCATAGATTGTTCATTGATTTTCATACCTCAACAAAGAGGTTAGTAAATCATCTTATGGTTAGGGATTTTTCCCAGCGTGATTGGCTTGGATGTTGGATGATTCTTTTTGATATTAGGGAGGATAATTTACTACATGCCATATTTTATAACCATTGAAGTTACAAAGAAGGTCTGCAGAATGTGTTAATTATATGCCTAGAGCCAATGTGCTTTCTGGTCCTATAAGTAATATCATTTGTTGTCGTTTATTAAAAGAGATTAGGGAGATCTGGAAGGGAGAAAAAAGGATACTTGTGAGATGTGGAGAAATGGGATATGTTTCCTGTGCAGCACTGGTTTGTGTAGCTATCAAATAGCTTTCAATTGAGAAGATGGCTTACAGTAACCAAATGAGGCTCAGATGAAATTGTATTATACATTCAGTGAGGATACTTATTAACTGGCTTATATTCCCATTACACAATCATTGTGGCAACCCAGTGAAAATGTGGAGAAAGTGGTTATTTCAGAGCACTTATCCACTGACTCACTTAGCCAATGTGTTCAGATAAATGAAATCTGACAGGATTCCCAGCAGGGTTGCTGTCAGGGTAGTGATGCTTTTGATTAGATACCAAAGAAGACCATCTTCTGAGGCTATTATTTGGATTAGTTCCCAGGGCGGAGAGTTACCACCACACTATCGTTAAGAAGAAATTGTCTTCCCAAGTATTCAAATACAAATAGGACAGTGATTTAATACTATAAAGTTTAAAAGAATTTGGGAAAGCAACTGCAAAACTCTTCTTTGAAATTGTTCTATATAGTATAGAAATGAAAGAGATAACAGTTTTGTGAGATAAGCTCAAAGCAGGGTGATGTGCCTAGCAAGCCAATTCATTATCTCAGAGGGCAGAACTTAGGCTTTGTAGAAGTCCTTATCTATTACATCACAGGACAGGATTTTCCAACTTTAATACCGCATTGCTAACATTATCACTATACAGATGTAGATGTCTGGTAAACTGAAGAGCAAAGATAAGCTTTTCTATATGTCTGAAACTCAGTGCCACTTAAAAAGAAATCTTTGATAACAATAGTATTAAACCACTTAGATTAATCAATTAATCTAGTTGGAGGCAAATATAGCCTCAAACTGAGACATATGTGATAGCATTGGGGTAAAATGCCATAGGTTTAGGATTTCATAAAAGTCATTTAATGGTCATGGAAATACATTATCATTATATGAAATTTTCTTGCAACTTCAAATGTGCTCACACACAGTCTCTTCCAATTAGATAATCTCATAGAAAACCACAGGGATTTAAAAAGAATCTACAAAATGTAATTTGCTGTTTACTCCTCTTCATCAGGATCAGAAAACTATGTTAGAAAAATAAAGGAGGAATGGAGATATGATGAGGAGATGGAGAAAATTCTGGACAGTGATGAGATAATAATGAAACCTGGAGGAAGTGTAGAAAGAAGTACTTTCTTCTAAGGGCAGAATACATGACCACTGACCAAAAGGTAAAAAGAACCATATCCATAAAGACTGAGGTACATGGAAACAAGTGCCTATTATAGGTGTCTTCTAACTTAAAAATATTCTGACCTTATTTTAATATGCATGAGTATTTTATACCATAATATGAAGATGGTGTTCAGAGGAATTGTTTGCTATTTTAAGCAGTTTGCTCTAGTAAAACTATATTTAGTATTTATTGCTATTACTATCAGCTATGCTTTATTTAGAATATTTGGGATATAATAAATGGTTCATTGCACCCTTAAAGCAGGATAAATCTAAACTAAAACTTAAACATAAAATGCACCTCTGAAAAAAATCAAATTATAATTTATTGCATAAGCAATTGCTCAGTAGAGTGTCATAAATATAACAGTGAACTGGAGTGAATAAGTCTAGTTTATAATTTAGAAAGGCCTTGTCAAGAATAAAATCTCAGACGTTTTTCTCTATAGCATGCATGATTTCATCTGGTATATATCCACACTTACTTTAAAACCCAGTGCCATGGTAGGTATTTGAAGCTGATCTTCAAGGCTGTCATAGAAGGATAATAACCTGTCATGACAGGAAGGCTCATTCTTAGGATGCCTTTTTTTCAAATAAGTACTGGTGTATCTCAGGTTGGACTTGAGAGACATTCCCCACAGTCTAATGTACTTCCAACACTAGATTTCCAGTGTTATTTGCAATTGACCAGTTAATTTTATGACTGGAAAAAGACTCCATGAGTCATCTTACTGAAGTGGCTTACAATTGCTATTCTCTCTCTCTCTCTCTCTCTCTCTCTCTCTCTCTCTCTCTCTCTCTCACACACACACACACACACACACACACAGATACTACACACACACACACACATGCACACACACACATGTAGAATATTAGTATTTTATGTATAATATGGGTGCATGTGTGTGTATGTGTGTTCTTAAAGGCCTTTCTCCATTGTCTCCTTGTATTCAAACATATAAGACACCTCAAAAAATACTTATTATATTGACTGGATTTCAGATGTTAAAATATGTTCTGACTTAGTTCTTTCATTCAGTATATAAAAATATAAAACCTTTTGTGTAGTACATAAAATTCATATTTTAATGAGTCTTGAAATCTTTAATTCTTTGCTAAATATCAAAGTAGAGCATGAAAAGCCAATGAAGCAAGTGGACAAATCAAAGTTTTAGGAAATTTCTGTCTTCCAGGACAATTTAACATAGATTTTCTCATAGTTTAAGTTATATACAAAAAGATATACACAAAGAAACTCTAGTAAAAAGTACTCATCTATCATGTTGAATATAGTTGTTACTATCTAGGGTATTTCTGGAGACTGAATCCTATCTGGGGATCTTTGGTCTTAGTTCTCAAGTCTACATTTCATTGTTTATAAAAGAGGCAAGGGTTATTTCCTGAGCTCTTAAATCATCAAATTTTGTAATTTTTCCTAACAATGATGGGTTAGGTAGATAATAATAACCCATGCTTGGCCCTCATTCTGTGCCATGTCGGATATTTGCAAGTCCACTACCTTATGAGATTCTCACAATGAATATGTGAGAAAAATAGGTTAAGGATTGTTTCCCATATTTTATAACTGAAATAAATATCCAGAAAAGTTATAAACCCTATAGTGTCATACAATTTATCCATCTCAGTCTGAAGACTATAGTTGTACCTTCTGATTATCTTCTCTTCCCCAGTCATGGATGCATGGTCTGTAAATGAAAAGAATTGGATGAGAGATAAGTCTGGGTGGGAGGATGATAGCTTAGTATGTACAAAACCTTGAGTTTGTTTCCCAGCATAGCAAAACTAAACCAGTCATTGCCAAAAACATTAAGAGGAGATAATACATATCATAGAATAAGTAAAATAGCTGAAATAGATCGTTATAATGCATAATTTCAAAGAAATTGGACGTTAGCATTACTATGGCCGCTTTTGTATGAGGCAGATTGAATGATGACATGACAATTTATGAGTACATCTGTCTTACAACCACTCATCTAGAAAAAAATAATGCAATTTGCACTCTTCAAGTTATACTCTTATGAATAGTATGTATTTGTGATTATATTTGAATTCCTTCTTTTCTTTTTTGATTTTTTCCTTTTATTGACAATATATTTTTCTCACATACTATACCTGATTATGATTTCCCCCACTTCTTCTCCTCCCAGTTCCTCCTCACTTTCCTCCCATCCAGATCCACTCCCTTTCTGTCTCTCATCCAAAAACAAACAGGCTTCTAAGGGCTAATAATAAAATTTTATATAGTAAAATGAGACAAAAACTAACGCATTGTAATTGAACAAACAGAAGAAAAGGAGCTCAAGAGAAGGCATGTGAATCAGGGACCCACTCTGTCACACACCTAGGAATCCCATAACTTGGGCTCAGGAAACCATGATGTAAACACAGAGGACCTGATGCAGACCTGTGCAGGCCCCATGCATGCTGTTTCATCTGTGCCTTAATCAGGTTGATATAGAGGACCTTGTTTTCTTGGTGGCCTGCATCTCTTCTGGCTTTCACATTATCTCTGCCTCCTCTTTCACAAGGTTCCTTGAGATCTAAGAAGAGGCATTATATGGGGACATCCCATTTAGGGCTGAGTATTTGAAGGTCAGTCACTCTCTATATAATGCCTGGCGTTGGGTCTCTATATTTGTTCCATTTGTTTCAGGGGAAAGCTTCTCTGATTGTTGCTGAGATATGTACTGATCTTTGAGTTCAGCAAAACGTCATTAGCAGTCATTTTATTGCTCATTTTTTTCTTTTTTTTAGACCAGTAGTATTTGGTTTTACCCTAGGTCTTCAAGCTATCTAATGTTAGGTTTGTTGTCACCCAAGCAGTCTCCTGTATGGGTTGCATCTCTTGGAGTGGGCCTCTTAAGTCAAATCAGATATTGGGTGCTTACTTTCACAGGATTTTGGCCATCGTTGTCTTAGCATATAGGACACCATTGTTGATACAGAATTTTGTGCCTGGGTTGGTGTTTACATTTCTCCTTTGGTAGCACGTAGAGTACCTTCCTGTACCAAAGACTTACAGGTAGGGAGAAAGGCTCTATGTAGGCACTGGTTCTCCCTTTTTATGTTCAATGACTTATATAGATGCTATCATCAGCAATGGAGCCTTGCTGGCAGTGTGTGGAGAGCAATCTATAGTCTTGGCAACAGTCTGCATTGCTTGAGGATTCCCATGGGACCCCATGGGCTAACTACTCAATTTGATGTAAACTAATTCTGGTATTGGAAGCTTCATTTGGTGACAAGAGATGTTCAGTTGGGGCTCTTTCTTCCCCATTATTCGGCAATTTCGTTTCGATCACCTTCATATAAATATGTATTTTAGGAAGTCTCTACTGTATTAGGGTTTCATACCTGTGGTGATATTGTATTCCCCAATATATTGTGAACACTAATAAACTTATCTGGGGTCAGAGAACAGAACAGCTGCTAGAGGTCAGAAAATGGTGGCACTCACACCTTTAATCCTAGCATTCTGGAGGCAGAGATCCATTCAGATCTCTGTGAGTTCAAAGCCACACTGGAAACAGCTAGGCATGGAGACACACATCTTTAATTCCAGGAAGTGATGGTAGGAAGCAGAAAGGTATATAATGCTTGAGGACCAGGAACTAGCTGTTAAGCTTTTAGGCTTTTGAGCAGCAGTTCATCCAAGATCCATTCAAATGATGAGACAGAGGCTTCCAGTTTGAGAAAAATGAGATCAGCTGAGGAAATGGTGAGGTGAGGTTAACTGTGGCTAGTTCTGTCTCTCTGATCTTTCAGTGTTTACCCCAATACCTGGCTCCGGGTTTGTTTTTATGAATGAGACCTTTTAAGATTTGTGTAACACATACTGCACTGCAATGGCTCTTAATTTCTTGAACAATAAATATTAATGTTACTTAATACACATGCATCTACATGACTAAGCCACTTGGAGGTTTTAATTCCCCTTTTAATAAGTTGCTGACATTTTGACAATGAGAAAAACAATACAGTACTAAGCAAAAATGTTTCAATACAGAGCAAGCAGGCAGGTTCCACTGACTATAAAGCTTAGTACTTTACTCCGTTCTTCTCTATACCATTGCAGTTATTCATGCATCACTTCCAGTAATGTATCCTTCCCTCTTCCTGTCAGCCTGCTCTTAGATCGGGGTTATTAAGAGGCAATCACGTAATGAGTTTTAATGGAGTAGGCTTTGTCACTCAGCCAAAGGAGTTTTCATAACATGTGTTCTGCATTTTTAAGTTGACCCAAAGCCTTTTTTTTATCCGATATACTAAACATTTACCGGAGTCTTGATGAGCTGTTTTACACATGGAGAAAATTTAGTTTTGGATACATAATACTAATTCAAAATTTCATTATCCAGATGTATCACTAGATGAATGCTTACAATAAGATTTGGGCAAGAGTTATAATAACCTTTGTATTCTAATCTGATTCCCATACATATAAGGAAAATGCTGTTGAGAAAAATGTATATACTGTGTCTCTGATGAGATTACATTCCTCTTTTTTTTTAGAGATTAAATTTTTATGTACTTTCTTTATTGATTCTTTGGGAATTTCAAATCATGCACCACAATTCTATTCATCTCTCAGTCCCCCGATATCTGCTCCTCACCCTTGCAGCATCTTCCCAAAAAAAATTAAAAAAAAAATAAAACCAAAGCAAACCAACCAACCAAACAACCAAACAAACAAAAAAAACTCTTAGCTCCTCCATTTTTCCTGCTCTCCAATCTCTTCATTTGTTTTAATGGCATTTGAGGACATTTTGTGTCACAGTATACAAGTTTTCCCAATCAGCCTTACTTGCAAATGTTCATTGTAATGAGTCACTGGTCTTGTTTAAGGTCTCTTGTTTCTGGTACACCATCATCACTGGGCCCTCACTGAAACTCCTCTTGGATATCCCATGGTCACCCCAAGTCATGGAGACTCTTCGGGTACCATTCCATAGGGCCAGTTCCTTCATTAACTCCAGTAGGTCATAGATGGGATAGATGTTAACGTGGGCCAGGCCAAGGCTCTGGATATGGGCCTGAGTGACAGCTTAACTGGTCAGTCCAGGGCTGGAGCTAGCTCTTCTATGCTCATGTCTTCAGGGCCAGTTCTCCCACACCCATGGTGAGGGGTGAGGCCATAGAGATTACATTTTAAATGACCAGCTATGTAGTACCTAGTATAGTGAAACTAAGCACTGTTTTATAACTGTGGTACAGAGGTTAGCAAATTATGGTCTGTAGACCAAGTTTGTCCACACGCTGTCTCCTTAAATAAAGCCTCCAACTTGTTCATGTATAGCTTGGGACTGTTTCAGACTACAAGGACCAAGTTCATTTTCAACCTACTCCATATGTCTTCAGAACCTTAGTCATTTAGTCTCTGGCTTGTTGCAGAGGAAGCTACTAATGTTGGGATGATTTCCAGCTTAATTTAACCAGTGCTATTTCTCACATGTATTTAAATTCTTACAGTCTTTAATATTTTAATCCATGTGGTAATTGCGACTCCTTTTGTGCAGAGACACCACTGTTCATTTTAGACTGAGTATTGTTATACCATGGAAATGTTTAGATTTCAAACTAGCTTACATTACTTTGAAAAAAAATATGTGAATGAAAGCAGTGTAACATGCCATTTGAAGGATGGGACATATGAATCACCTAGTGCTGAACACTTCACCGCCTCTGTGTATTGGTTGTACAAACAGTGCTTTTCATGTAAGCAAGGCTGGTGCATGTTTCTAAGCTAGCAGATATTAGTAGCTAATATACAGCTTTAATGAATGATTAACAGCTCACAAAGCTATCACATTTGTACAAAAAAAAGTTAGGCTTCCAGGAGGGCAATCTCCCTTCCAGTAAAAAAAAAAAAAAAAATCTAGATGCTATAAGAATAATCACACAAATCTCCAAATGTCCAAAGATTTTAAGAATTATCATAATAACAGTAACAATAACAATTAACCTGCATACAAGACTTGCTGTGTGGCTAAGTGCCTCATGTATATTTGTTGATTTAGTCTGTAACAGCTGAGAACTTAGATTGACACTGTGGTAGGTAGTGGGGTTTGCTCATGTATCCCTGGTGTATTGTATCTCTCAATAGGTCCTAACTGCTGCAGCATTTATTTGATGGTGCTATCAAATTGCTTGCAATGTGGCTATCCTTCCAAATCAATCAGATTTACTATTATATCTGTACATCATTATAAACAAATAACTATGTCCTTAATACGTTAGTATTTCATGGTCAATTTGGTTTAACACATTTTTCTTTTTGCTCAGCCATGCTCAAAATACTCAGTTACTCACCTTTCATTTGGCAAACATTTCTTCTCAAAACTAAAATCTCTTCACCAGTTAGATCCATGAGCATCAGTATTATGTTGACTTTTAAGCTGATTTTAAGTTGCATCTTGTGAGTTCTTAGCAGGAATTAAATGAACTTAGAAAAATCATGGACCCAGAGACTATGCAAGCTGGAAAACAGAGGAGACAGCACATTCTTGCTCCTGTTTCTGCAGGACACAGAGAATTGCTCACATTGCCAAGAATACTGAATTGTTTCCTTTGCTAGGTGTTAAAAGCTGTGATTCTTTTTTGCCTTTGTGATTTTTTTGATTATATTTTATTTCTTCTAGTTACACATAACTTTAGCTAATTTCCTCCTTAACAGCCATCGAAATGGAGGGAATTGAAGTCCAATGCTATTTTTTATGTTTTTATTTTATTTTTTTGCCATTATTCCCTCTTGTTTAGTCATTTCTAATATTTTCAAGGCCCCAAGGGCCTGTATCTGTAGCTCTATATTAAGTACCGTAGACACTAGGCTTACTTTCTGGTTCTATCAAAATGAGAAAAGTATTCCATGTAGTATTCATTCATTGAGCTTATGCCAGGTAGCAATGAAATGTACACACTTTACAATGCAAATTGTATTCATAATAATGGTTTTTACTCACCTTTTGGTTTATAAATGACTTCTTTATTTGCAATGCATATTAAAGAAACTAAGGTATAGATAATGCTCTCAAATGTACTAGGGGGATCCCTGGGAATAGAAATCTCAGCTGCCTTTTAACACTTCATGAGAACAAGCATGTTTTTATTTCATACATCTATTTGTTTGAGAATTCTTTTCCTCACCCACTTTACATCCTGAGCCCAACACGATAGCTGCTTTTGGTTGTTCGCAGGATATATAGATATATGTGACCAAGCCTTCAAGATCCATTTGCTTTCATTTGCAGAACTTTCCAACTGCCAGGCAGAAAAGGGATTACAGATACTTTTTTTCTTTCAGTCCCCTAGGAGATTCAACACAAAACAGGTGCCCTAGCAGTGAACAGCCTTGTGTTCAATCTCATGTGCTATAAAATATCTTTTCCTTAAGTCTGTTGTCCATGAAAAACAATTGAAAAGTGCATGTTCAAGATGCATATTACCTGTTAAAGGCAATTTAATGAATCAATTAAAACTTCAAATTTAAAAGTTGTCAGTGCAGAAGTGATATTTACCTATAGGAATAAATTTAGGAAGATAAAAGAAAAAATATAATAGAATGTAGTTAGTAAGTAGAAAGCTACTTTCTTGAGGAAAGAAATGGGGAAAGGAAAAAAACTAGTAGTATGTCTGAGAGTTTAAAAAGTATATGAATTGGAAATAAAATACAATACTCACAGATATAGGAGGAATTAAATAGCTTATATAATTATACTTTATTCACAAATACACTTTGTTCAGGTATGAATATGGAATAATATGAGAATTACTAAGAGGGCATAAATACAAAAAAAAAAATTGAACTCAGAAAACCTACATGACCATGTAAGAAATGGAGAATCTTTTTAAAGAGTAAAAGTCACCAAACTGTATTCCAATGGATTCTCAAGCAATTATCTAAAAATGTTGGAGTGTAGAGAACTTTGTGTAATTCAAACTGTCCCTATCAATAGCAAGGTCATAAAAGTTAAAAAAAACTTTCTTATAGAACTCTTACAGAGAGAATGATAAAATCTATTAAAAAAACTACATGAAATGAAGTAATTTAGATTTACTTCTGAATATCTACATATGAAATTATAAACCTACATATTGGGCTCTGGCAATATTAACATGTAGTATGAACACTCAGGAGACAGAGGCAGGCCTCTGAGTTCAATGCCAGCCTGGTCTACAGAGTAAGTTCCAGGACAGCCAGTGGTACAGAAAAACCATGTCTCAAAAACAAACAAACAAAAAACAAAAACAAAAGAAAACAAAAAACATGCACTATAATCTGATTATACACATTAGAAACACAGGTTTAGCTCTCAGCCATATATTAAGGCAAAACTCCGGAGTTTTAAAATATTCATATTAATCCACACAAAAAACAGTAAAAGAAAAGGAGATTAGAGGCCATGCAATTGAGGGAGAGAAAGTGGGCAATATATACATGGGAGGGCCTGAAGTAAGGAACATTAAAGGGGAAAATGATAATATTATATGTTAAGTTCAAAAAATGATAACAGATATATAATATAACAGAAAGGAAGTCATAATATTTTCTCTGACACACATTACAAATTCATAATAATTATAATAGATATTTCAAAGTAGAGTTAAAAATGGAAATGATGACTACTACTATTTACTACTATTAGTGTAAAATTGCCAGAGAATTTCAGCTTCACAATTACATGGACAAAAAAGATGAATGCTGTTAGAAATTATCTTGTGATTGAGACTCTAATGATTTGTATGATGTAAGTGGAAAGTCTAAGAAAAATAGTTTCAAATATACCCATTTGTAATGAAGTAAGAAATTTCAGTAAAATGATGTCTTAAATGATAGAAAATTATGCTAGTAGTTCACATGTAATAAGTATAGTAGAGAGAAAATTTCCATTTACAATATCAAAATAATGTATTAATATTCACTCTATGTAGATCCAAATGTTATAGAAACTTACAGAAGCGAAATTTAAAATTTAAATGTGGACATATAAGTGAGATTTTCAGTGTGAAAAGAATTATGTGTGTGTGTGTGTGTGTGTGTGTGTGTGTGTGTGTGTGTGTGTGCAAGTATGAAGACAACAATGGCCTCTGAACTAATTTATGAACAATTTAAACATGTTTAAAATATTAAAAGTTTTTATCAAGTTGAGAGAAGCTGCTAATGTTAATATGGAAAAAACAAGCATTTGGAGTTTTTCACAGAATATGTAAAATAAAAGGTGACACAGAAAATGATCATTGTCATTAAAACATAGTTCAACCTCATTATAATTTGTACAGTTTGAAATTGCTACTCAAAGAAGTACATAGATTAAAGTTATTCAAGACCATCTGGAAATCATTTCAAATAAGTAACAAATTCCAGATTACATAAATGATAAATATGGAGTGCTCAGTAATTATGGTGAAAGATTGCTCAAGTTTTAACAAAATTTTAAGGTAAAAATTTACTTATACTCTACAGAAAAATAGTTAATTAAGAGTAAAGAATTTAAAATAAAATGATTTTGGCAGGATAGATACCTTAATGGTTAAGAGCACTGGCTGTTCTTCTAGAGGACCCAGGTTTAATTCCCAACACCCATGTGGCAGCTCACACTGTCTCCAACTTCAGGAGTTACAACATCTTGACACAGATACACATGCAGACAAAACCCTACTCACATAAAATAAAAACAAACAATTAAAAATAGAATGATTTAATTGTATTTAAAAGTTTTTCTGGAAACTTGACATGTGCTTTTAAGTTTATGAGCATCAAGCTCAGCAGCCATTTGTAAGATTGGTGAGTTTGACCATGATTAGAAACAATTACAGAAGAAAATTAATGAACAAAGTCAAGGGGGTGTCAGGAGTCTTCATTATTTTAATACACAAAGGAGACTCACAGCCAATAGGAAAAAGCTAATTAATAGGGGAATGTTCACAGAAATATATAGAGATTTTTTTTTCACAAGAAGAATATGAATGGCTGATAACAGAAAAATATTTAATTTCAAAGCAAAGGTGTTAATTACACAATATCAGGCTAGGAAGAAAGTTTGAAATGACAATTTGTAACAATTTAATGAAATAGGCTTTCTCATGTTGTTGGGGCACAAAGGAAAATGATACCAAACCATTTGATGCCATTGGGTGATACCTCAAGAATAGCAATAAACACTGCTCATTTTCTGTTATTATAAAAATAAAAGGTGTTTGCAAAGAATTCATTTGCGTTTACCTGTTATTTATGACTACAAAACAGAAAAGTTCTAGTTGGGTGGCAGTTTGGATCATAACTTAACATGTTCAGAGCTCAAAGTGAGAGGTGTTAATATATTGTTGTTAGCTATCCTGTAGCAATATCTATTCCCTAATAAAATGTTTATAGGAACACTTTGGGATGAGCACACAGGACACCCTTTCCTTGGCCATTTCAAGTGGTTAAAAATGCACAAGATAATTTATTTTATAATTTTAACACTTTTCTAAATATCTGAATAGCTGTCTTTGCTTAAAATATTTTAAAATATATTGGATTGGTTACACATACACATGGAATATGTGTTTCCATGTCATTTCTCTCTTCCAGATCAGTAGCTGACATGTGATTTTATAAGTGCCTCTGTTGCCTCTATTTATTGGTTCATACACATCACTTCAGGTGCAAATTTCCACCCAAAGCCCACCCTGCAGTAATAGAGACACTGTAAAAGAGACTGTATTACCTATTAATCTCGAGGTGGCCTAGATGGAAAGTCAAAATCCCAAGGAATTGTTTTGAGGGTGACCTCAGTAACAGAGCATTGAAATGAGAAAGACTTGACAAGTTGAGACAAAATCATCATAACAGCCCTGACAATTTCCTAATTGAGAAGTTGGAACAGTTAATCTCTGTTAGAGAAACACAAGAAAGGTCACTCTGCGCAAGGAATAAGATTGCCCAGATTTTAAAATAAATCATGAAAATGCCAAGTCACTCCTATCTCACCCTGAATACTGCAGCCTAAAAGGAATATTTCCACCATCTGTATTGCTTTATTGTGTAGAGTTTTGGGCACTCAGTAGATAATGGCTACAATATGTTCTATTTTCTTCATATTTATGCATTTTACATCTCTAATTAGATATTATATTTTCTTAATGTGCAGGCTGTTTTCCTTTTATTTTTCTCAATGCCCTAGGAGTATTTAGGGTGTTTAATAAGCCAACTTTTTCAGTTTATCTCTTTATTAATTTCAGATTTTATGATTTTAACCTTTGATTCCATTTGGATTATTTTTCCTTAATTTCTTATCCTAGGGTGCTCCTATTTTTATACTTAAACCAGATGAATATTCCTCTGTATATTCTTTGCCTAGGTTCCTTAACCAGTTTCTTATTACTTAAAAAATTATGTTCACGGACTAAGGAGGAGGCTCAGTAGATAAATAACTTGCCATACGAACATGAAGACAAGAGTTCAGATTCTCAGGACCTGTGTAAAGCCCAAAGCAGCAGGCTCCTCACCTATTGTTCCCATGTTGAGATGGGAAATGAAGACAGGAGAACCCTACAGGCTTCCTAGCCTGGAAGGATACATAGAAAACACAAAAAGAAAGTATGTTTACATATACAACAACATACATGTGCACACATGCTCATCATACATATACATGCACATGGTGTTCAAAGAGAGGCACAGATGAAATAAATAAAATAAAGCCAAGACACCTAAATGTTTCTTCATATAGTTCGTTATTCTTCTACTTTTTGCTGTAGTTCTTTTCTTACATGGATTTTTTTTTCTGTAACCAAGCTGGTGGCTTCAAAATATATCCTCATTCCTTCTCATTGTAATAATATTCCTCCTTAATTCTACTTGTCTACTGACTGATTTTCACTTCTACATTCAGTGTGATCTCTCCTGTGACCCAAAGCCTACACTACATTATTTTTTGTTGTGTGATGTGTCTGTGTACTGTTCATATTACTTCATAAGACTATGTGATGTATTCTAGGTACTTTCTATTTGCACAGACAATGAAAAAGACTGTCAGTACCCTCAGAGAAAGAAAAATAATCTGTTTCTTTGTGTCATTTTAACACACACACACACACACACACACACACACATATATATATATATACATATTTAGGAAGAAAGAGTGTCTGGTAAGTGTTAGACAATTAACAAGGGTTTGACTGAAAGACTGGGATTCATTATAAATAGAAGATTTGTGAACTAAAACTTCTAAACAATGTTTTTTTGAACAAATAATATTTAGTTATAAATTTC